AATGTTTTGGTGACTTTCAAGAGTTGTGTACAGTCATATTAGTCTAACTTCACTTGTAATAGTGTCACTGGCAATTTGATGATTATTCTGCCAGTGTTTATCCATGTCATTCATTCATTAATTCAATTAGTTGAGCACCTACTATGTGCTAGATCTAGAGCTGACACTAGGTAATGTGTTGGTGAATAAAAGAGACATGATCCCACCCTGGCTGGGTGGCTCAGTTGGTTGGAACATTGCCCGTGCACCAAAAGGTTGTGGGTTCAATCCCTAGTCAGGGCACATACCTAGATTGCAAATTTGATCCCTAGTTGGGATACTTACGAGAGGCAACCGATCAAGGTTTCTCACATGGCTGTTTTATTCTGTCCCTCTTCCTTTCTCTAAATTAACAAACATATCCTTGAGTGAGAATTTCAAAAAAGAGTATGAAAGAGACATGATTCCTGCTCTCGTGGAGTATACAATCTGCCAAATGAGCCAGTAAAATAAATAGAATAAGAAAATAACTACTGGGGGAGAGGAGTCAGGGAGGAGTTGTCTGGGCTTCCAGCAGGGAAGTAAAGTAATCAGTTTTATGTTTCTGAATGACCACTCCCCTCTAGGGCTGTGCCTTCAGGCAGGAGACTGTGGTATTGGTCCAGGAGAAAGGCAATAGAGGTCTATACTCAGGTGCTCTTAGAGATTGAAGCACTGATAGGACTAATAGATATCCTTAATAGACAGGGCAGATCCTAGAGGCTGATACCAATCAATGCTCTTTGAATTTGGTATTTTATCAATTTTCATTCCCTAGTAACTGTCCCATTGCCTCCGCCACCTTTAGCTTCCATCACCACCTCTTATTCCCTGTTTGTGAGGATGTCACGGGAGACTGATGTCAACAGCTTGCTGGTCCAGTTACACTGGCTTACAGCATTCCTTTGATCTACTGATCTAGTTAACTTTAAGTAAAGGAATGAGGATAGTTTAGCATGACCTGCTTTTTGTTGTTGTTGTTGTTGTTGTTAGTAACCTATGCTGGCTCCAAGGGCTCTGTTTCGTTTTCCAAAGGCTGACAGGCCATCTGTTTTAATCAGGTGGCAGAAACCCAACTCAGCATGGACTGTAGCAAAGCAGGGTGGGGAATGAAAGTGAAAAAAATGTCCAAAGGGAATCAGATTGATTCATCATGGCTGGACTGAGTACTGCCATCGGGGCTCAGTCTCATGGTCTCTTATCTCTCAGCTCCATTTCTTTGGTGTAAGCTGCGTTCTCAGTCAAGTTCTGGTGGATAGTTATTATTATTATATCATGATTACCTGTTCTCACTGTCTGCTTCAATATGATCTGTCAACTGTCCAACTTCTTCATCCATCTGACTCATAGTAATGTTATGGTTTTTAGTTCAACAATAATAGTAACAAAAACAACAGTTACTATTATTGAGTGCTTGCAATGCACCAGGCACTCTGTTAGACACTTCACATGGTTTGTCTAATTATAACAAAGATAATGTTAGGAAAGCCAGCCAGTTGATTCCAGAATCAGAATTGGAAATCAGGTTTTCTGGCTCTAGGATCTGGGCTCCAAACCTTTATAGTGCCTCCTATAGCTACTCTTTAGGGCTAAGAGGGAAGCACACAGCAAATGTGTGCCTATTTCTTACTTTTTCTAAACATGAGTCATCACAGTCATAGTAGGGGCCAAGCTTTGGAGGTTCTTCTTATAATTTTTTCCATTCCAGATCTTACAGGGTTTGAGAGTTCTGGAAGCTCTTTGTGCAAGACTCTGCCCTCTGACTAGTATTTATAGCTTCATAAACCAGGCTCATTAACCAGGATCTCCATGTGGCCACTCTCATTTCTATAGGCGTCCCCCTGCCCTTTATTCTTTGACAGGGTCCTTGGCTGTCATGATGCTTGAACTTTATCTTTGACAGCCTTCCCTAACCCCTAGAGTCTCAAACCAGAGGTCATACCTCCTTCCCCCTGCCCTACCTTAAATGTTTAAATTGACCTACTAAAACCTGGGGTAGGGGGATGATGGCTGTTCATCTTTCTTTGCCATGACATGTTACCTTCTGGAAGAACTTTAAGATGATGGTTTCACTTTCCCCCATAGATCTCCTCCTTATTTTTTAAATATTTTAATTTATTAAATATTTTAATTTATTTTTAGAGAGCAGGGAAGGAAGGGAGAAAGGGAGGGGTAGAAACATCAGTGTATCTTTTCCTCTTGCACTCCCCCAACTGAAGACCTGGCCCACAACCCAGGCACGTGCCCCGACTGGGAATTGAACCAGCAACCCCTTGATTCATAGGCTGGCACTCAGTCCACTGAGCCACACCAGCCAAGGCCCCCATGGGTCTTCTTACTTCCATTTCTCCAGTTCTGACTGGTCAGAATTAGGTTTGGAGTATTATTTTCCTGCTACTTCCCTTGTCTTGAAAGGGATGAAGTAATCAGAATGTTTATAACATTTATTTAGTTCCTCTTCTTTCAGAGGAATGAAACATGGAGCAAATAACCAGAAACTTTAAATATCCTATCCTTATTGTAGAGCCATTTTTTTAGGCTTGCCTATTCGACATTTCATAGAAATGGAATCATAAAATACGTAGCTGTTTGTGTTTGGCTTCTTTTATTTAGCACAATGCTTTCAAATTCATCTATGTTGTAGCATGGATCCGTACTTCATTCCTTTCCATTGCCAAATAATATGTAATATTTACAAAAAATAAAAGTGTGTTTCCTTCCATTACATGGGCTATGCACTGAGAGAACAAAATGCTGCTACAGAGAGCTTTTGCCAGGCTTGCTTGGAAGCCTAGATTGCGATTAACCTAAGTACAAATTAATGCTATTTTTAATATTTAGAAGTTCCTTGTAAGGTATTACATAGGCATTTTGTTTATTTAGAAACAATTATGAGTAGCGGGACCTGAGTAGCTCTCCTGAAGTCCTATTGGGATCTTTCTAGATAAGCTAGGCAAAGGGTGGCGAATATCAGTGATTCAGGCCAGGGACAGGTCAGCAGACCACAGGCTGCATTCAGGAGCTGGGATAGAGCTGTGCGACAGACAGTTGCATTCCAGAATCTTCCTAGGCCCTTTGCCTTCTGAACAACCTCCCCCTCTCCAAACACTACGTTTACATATTATCTGACCCATGGGTCAGTGTTTATGGCGAAGGACAGAAACTTCTGCTGCTACTAGTACACCCAGAAGGACCGCTTATGCATGCAAACGTATATTGAGAGGGACAGAGGAGGACACAGGATGAATTTGTGCTCATCTTGTTTCTAAGAGCTTAGTGTCTAGCCAGGAAGATGAGGTGTAGCCCTAAGTAACCCAAGTACAAGGCTAAATGGGATGTGTGCCACTTTCAATATTAGGAAATATTTTAACCATCAAGAAAGGAACAAAGAACAATAAACAAATGCCCATGAACTTATCGCCTAGCTTTGTTTAATTTTAACATTTTTGCCATAGTTACTTCCGTTTTGTTTTAAAACAAATAAAACATCTCAGATGGTCAGCAATAAAAAGGAAGGAACTATTGATGCACGCAGCAATTCACATGAATCTCCAGGGAATTATGCTGACTGAATAACGTCAGTCACAAAAGTACTGTATGATTCAAATATATGTACTATATGATTTACATACATCCTTGAACTGACAGGTGATAGAAATGGAGAGCAGATTCCTGGTCGCCAGGGGTTAAGAATGGGATGGGGCTGGAGCCAAGGGTGAAAAGGCAACACGGTATGTTTGAGGTAGAATTGTTCTGTATCTTGACTATCAGTGTCCACCCCCTGGGTATGATATTGTCTTTTTAAAATAATTTTTTACTTTTCAAGTACAATTGACATACAGTATTATGTTTCATGTGTACAACATAGTGATTAGACATTTATATAAATGTCTACAAATTGATTACAAATATCTTCTGATCTGAGGCACCTCTTTTCTTTCGATTGTAGAATTGTTTGTAAGAGGAAGAACACTTCAATATTATTGTAGTCAGATTGATCAGTCTTTTTTGGTCTTTTCTTTTGCGGTTTGTCCATTTTATGTCTTACTAAAGGAATCCTTCCCAGCTGGAGAGCATAAAAATTCTTGTCTGTGTTTTCTTTTGAGAATTTAAGAGTTTTACATTTAACATTTATAAAAAGTCTTTAATCTATATGGAGTTTATTTGGGGTATGATGTGGAATTGCATTTGTTTATTTTTCTGTGCAGAAAGCCAGTTATCCCATGGATCATCTCTTCCCAGTGACTTAAAATGACACTATGTCATATATTTAGTTTCCATATTTACTATGGTCAGTTTCTGGGCTCAAGCTGTTCCACTGATTTGTTTGCCCCATGTCAATATCATGCTGCTTAATTATTATGGTTTTTAAATAGATCTAAATATCTGATATGACAGGTCCCCCACCTTGTTTTTCAGAGTTGCCTTGGCTGTTGTTTGCCTTTTACTCTTCTTTATATACTTTAGAATCATTTTATTATGTTCTACTAAAACAAACAAACCAAAACACCCTGTTGGAAGTTTTACTGGAATTGTATTGAATCAGCTTAGGGAGAATTTTCATCTTGATGATATTGATTCTCCCTATCCATGAACATAGTGTATCTCTACTTGTAATTAGTTCTTAAGTGTATTTCAATAAAGTTTTTATAATTTTCTTCATAAAGATAATCTTATACATCTTTTGTTAAATTAAGATATTTAGGAAGGACTAAATCTTACTATTCATTCTATTATTAAGTCTTTTATTATTACGCTGCTATCTTTCTTTTTTTTTCCCTTTTATACTAAGTATTTATTTGTATGCCGCTGCCAGTGTATATAAAATAATCATCCTTGTGAAGTAGAAATTCATGAAAATTCAGAGAGGTAAATGTTAAGGACTGACAAAAGCAGAAGTTTGTATAGGGTGGCACATATTACAGGGATACGATTTTTGTACAGGCTTCAAATGAACTCTCTTTGACTCTTCCCTGGTTCATGAAAAGTGGATTAGAACACCTTCAATGATTCATTTCATTACAAGAAGGAACAAACTTTCTGGGGTCTGAAGGGATTGGTACTTGAAGATACTCCAGTTAGCAGGGCGTCATGTTGGGCATTCTGCGGACAGAATTGTTCTCGGTCTGCAGCTGCCTGGGAAACCTTTACGCAGTTGAGCCCGGCCTCCAGCCGGAGCTGTTGAACCACTTTCTTCATAGCGGTGACACTTGAGGAACCAGACATGGTGCACGCGACAAATGGGCCTACTTGGTTGTCTGCTATCTTTCTTTAAATTGCACTTTTAAATGTAGTTGCGGACATATATAGGAATATGATTTATTTTTGAATATTGATCTCCAGCAAAATTGAGAAGCTCTCACTTTTTCTTATATTTAGTTTTTCATATAAAAGCATACAATGTAAAGGGATGGACAGTTCTGTATTTGTTATGAGAAATGTATTACCTTTCCTTTCTGCTCCAGCCACTAGTAGGCAATGCCTGTCATCATTTTTAGCTGATTATATTAGTAATTACCTTCATGTCTCTAAATCGCATGCATATACTGCTACTTGTTGAGCTTTCAGTGCAGGCACTGTTCTTTGGCTTTACACCGTGGAAGATGAGGATTTATCTATTCTTTTTCAACTCACCTTCCACCACATATACAGCCTTCCCATTACCCTATCCTCTCAGTGTAGTTGCATGTAACATTAATTAGATCACTTACATTATTATGTGTGTCAATTCTATTTATAATGGAACTAGCTATATGGTTCCATTATTTATAGGAACCAGTTACCTATATTTTTTGTTGAAAAAAAAAGCTTTGTAACAATTATTTTTGCTTGTTGGTTTTTTTCTTAGGTGGGCATATATCACCTGTGTCATTATGCCTAAATGAACACCATATTCTCTATTTTATAATAAATCTGTTTCCGAGACTTTCTAGTACCTTCTGAAGTACTGTAGCCCAGACTGTTTGTCATCTGCATGTGGCCAGCAGTCAGAGCCAGGACTCCCTTCACCTGTCCTGGAGATCACCTCACTCCCACTCCCGGGTTAGATCACCAGTCCCCGGAGCCCCATCTTCCTCTTTCTTGATTTCTTTCTTTATTGGTGGAGCACATTCTCCCATAGTTTTCTGAGAACAGGAACATACAAGGTAAACTCTTGAGGCCTTCAAGGTGCTGCACTTCCTCCTCAATGTGTTTAGATGTGGATTTTTTAAAAAACTTATCCTGCTTGGGTCTCGTACTTCTTGGATCTAAGAATTCATAGGTTTTATAACTCCTGGACAATTCTTGGGCTTATCTCTTCAAAGACCGCCTTTCCTCTCTTTATCATTGCCTTCTGGAACTCACATTGGTACATGGCCTTCTTATTTCGGTAATCCGGATCTCTACACTCTCTCATATTTCCCCTGCTTCTCTCTCTCGTTAGGAGTCTGGGTAATTTCTTCAGTTCTCCCTGCCCCTTCCTCTTTCCTTGATGCCTGTTGAATCTTTCTACTCTATTATTAATTTTTTTTTTCTTATCCTCACAGATTTCAGCACAGGTCTGTGAAAAGGTTCTCATCACAGAAATCTATTATTAATTTTAAAGACTAAATCTTAATTTCTGTAAGTTCTGTTTGGTGCTTTAAAAATCATGCAGGTCTTTATTTTTTTAATATGATGTCTTTTCTTTTCGTGCTTATTTTATAGATTTTATCTTACTGTTTGATTACCTGATGCTCTTGGGGCCTAATTCTGCTCTTTGTTGTTTCTGATGATGCTCACTCACAGTGCAGGTCTTGTACTTCTGGATTTTAAATCCATCTTCAGAGCAGCGTTGTCTGTTGTAGTACCATGTGTGCTAGGGTAAGGATGTGCCCTTCTGGAAACATTTTGTTTAACTTATGGGCACTCAGAGTAGCATTGGTAGCATTAGTCCAGAATTTTTTTTCTTGTTAATTTTTCATCTCTGGGCTATTTGAACCTAAAACCCAGCAAAGGCAGGCCTGCTGTTATGAATTTTCAGAGCAGAATTTCCCCCTCACCCAGGACTCAAGCCAAGATAAAGGAGCACCTTTGTCATCTGCTCAGTGGGTTGAAGGGGAGAATGTTTTTTCCGATCCACCATTTCACCGGAGTCGTTGGCGATCGCAGCTCTGTAAAGAAGCCCGTCTCCTGATCCTGCCTGGGCACTAACACCCGAGCCCTTGGTTCTCTGAGCTCGGCCGTGCCCTCCTCCCTGCCCACTCTGGCCACTTCAGCTGCATCAGCTCAGCTGCGTCTGCTCTGGTTTTCAGTTCCCTCTGTTTGGGGTCCCTGCTGATTTCCTTCACTCTCTTGCAAGCCCTGCTGTGCAGTGAAAAGAAAGCTTATTATAGCTGATCTAGCATTTTTAGATATTTTGTGGTGGGGAGATTTTTCAGGCCATCTTGTCCATTGCCATTTGCACTTTTTAAACTGCGAGATAAAAAAGAAAAGTACATCTGGCTGGGAGGAGCAGGAAAGGCCTTAGAGAAAATGAGTGTTGGAGGCTATAGACAGGGGAAGGTGCACAGCAGGTGCAAAAGCAGAGGCAGGACGTGACTGTGCAGGAAGAGAAAAAAGCACGTAACTCTCTCTTCACTGGAGAGTGTATAGGAAGGGGAAATGAGGTTGGAGCCAGACCACTGAGCTGCAGGGGGCATCTCACAGAACAGACTACCACGGTCACAAGCTTTCTTTCAGGAAGTTTAAACTGGAACCATGTCCAGGGTGAATGGGTGTGGGTGGCAGCAGGCGAGAGAGGGGTTTGGGTTTGGGAAGGTGATCTTGGAAGTTGTGGAAATGGCCCAGGTGACAGGTAGTATGCCCTGAGTGGGGCAGGGAAAGGAGGGAACCACTGGGGATGAGATGGAGAGAGAGAAAGGGACTGACTCAGCTGAACCAGATAAACAAATCTGGGTCAAGAGCTGGGGGAAAAAAATAGAAGAAAAGCCAGACAAGCACATTTTCTGAATCCTGGGAAATGAATTCAAAATGTGAACGATTTTCTGAGTTGTGTTCTACCTTTTAAGGCTGTTCGGATACCACTCACAAATGCTAATGCACAGTTCATCTTGATTCCGTATGCAGCTAAAGATGTTTTTGGGTTGCTTGATGAATAGTTAGCTTTGGATTAGCGACAGCGTGTCCCAGTGGAGCCCCCGGAAATGAGTTGGGGTGTGCTTGTCTTCCCCAGGACCTGCTGACATGGCTGATTGGGGAGCCGATGAGCCATCCTCCAGGACAGGGAGTCCGGATGGGGAAGGTCAGGTCTCTGAGGACAGATGGTCGCTCCATCAGAGACTGGCCATCAGGGAGCTCGTTGACACGGAGGCCTCGTACTTGCAGATGCTCCAGCTCTGTGCCTCGGACATCAGGAGCCGCCTGCAGCAGGTACACACAACCTGTCTTTTGGGGCACATGTGGGTCCTGGGTTCTGAGACCTCACGTCTGTTCCTGGAGCAGGCTTGATGGAGGGGAAGTCACAACGGACATGACGTCCCCTGGATGTAAGCCCTGTACTTCCAATTATTGGCCATGCAACCGTCAGCAAGGCCTTGGAGCCTTAGTGTGTTCATCTGCCAAATGGGCAGAGGGATAATCACCTCAGAAAATTAAGTGAGCTAATGGATGAAATAACCCTTTGTCAAATTTAGAATAGATTGCTTGAACCAGCCTACATTCTCATCGTCTCATTTGGGGGATGTGGCGGGAGGGGTTAGTGCCATGATGGGTTTCTATTTTAGCGTTCATTTTTACATCTTTTTCCCTTGATTTCAGAAATAATACAGCTTCCTCTATAAGATGTCAAGCATTCCCTAACATGTAAGCTCTTTAAGAACAAAGACCATTTAGTTCGATATATCCCAGTTCTTGACATATAAAGAATTAGTGTTTCTTGAATTAACCAAGTAGTAAAGTATACCTACTTTAACATCGAAGGTGAAAGTCCACTCATATTTTACTCCCCAGAAATTGGGATTTTTCTCTGTAGACACTAACCAAACAACTATAGATCGTTACTTATTTTAACGAAGTAAGATAGTACTCTAGATATTTTTTGACAGGTAGCTTTTCCCACTTAACTATGCATCCAAGACCAATCTATCTATCTATTGATCTATCTATCTACCTACATATCTACCTATCATCTATCTGTCTATCTCCTATATATGTCCCTGCACATAAATAGATGACCTGCATCCTTTTTAACAGTGGTAAACCTAGTTAATAGGGGCTGAAGTTCAGAATACATCTCAAGATCATAATGGTAGGTGCCAGATATGTTAGAGCTGGATAGAAGTCTGACTTCCCAGCCTTATATAACAGATGGGAAAACTGAGGGAAGAAAAATGATGGTTGGTAAAACCTCAGCATAGCTTTCCTTCCAGGCTGAGTGCCCATCTTTTCCTTTCTTCTTGTAGAGTAATGGAAATACCTAATTTATAACATTTCAAAGTCCTTGCAAACATCCCACAGGGGCAGTTTTCCCAAGAACAATGGGCCCCTGGGGATGTGAGTGTTCTCGACTCTTCCTCAAGGCCTGCAAATCTAGTCCCTCTCCTGATCTCCCAGCCACTCCCTATGGCGTCTTTGTTCCTTCCAGCTGCCGCAGGGAGATCTGGATGTCCTGTTCTCAAATATCGATGATATCATCAAGGTGAACAGCAGATTTCTTCGGGATCTGCAGGAGACAGACTCCAGGGAAGAGGAACAAGCGCAGCTAATTGGTAAGCAAAAGACGAGGCAGCTGTCAGCCTTGGATTCCTGTGGAGTTGTCCTCAGCATGTGGTCATTGCTGAGCTGTGTCCCGAGTCCCAGAAAAATGCAGCTCAATGGAAGTCTGAGTTTGGGATCCCCGAAACATAGCATGTCAGAGCTGGCGGGATCATCAAATAATGTCTAGTCCAATCCACCAAGAGCACAAGTACTTCTCATGTAGTAGCCCTTTCCATTCTCGTGACACCGTTACTTATTGATTATTATTATTCCCATTTTACACAAGAAAATCCAAAGTTCAGAGAGGTTAAGTCACTTTCCCGGGGCCACACAGCTTGACCAGAGAGAATGGGGATTTGAACCCAGCTCTTTCAGGCTCTAGAACCCTAGCTCTTGACCATCCTGCCTCCCTTTCTTTTCTTTCTGACGAATGCCAGGTAGAGGTAGAACTCCCTTTTGATACTGAGAGTAACTTTTGCTGCTGTGACTTCTTTCCAATCTGCGAATGGAGGACTTTACTTCTCTAGAAAATACGTCTTTGCTTCAGTGTCCCAGGGAATTCCTGCCTCTTTGGACAGTTGTGCTCTATGGGAGTTTGCCCTCCTCTGCCCTTCAGAGTTAGCATACACATAAAGTAGTTTCACAGTTACTGACCATATCACAGTGAAAAACAGATACTCATGTTCATTTCTTTTGCCACACCCTTCACTATGATTATGTCTTCACTGTAATAAAATTAAGTTTATTCCTATTGTTGTATTCCATTTGGGGTTCCCCCCCATCCTGGTTGGTCTTAATTACATTTATATATAACATATATTATGTATCTGTATGATATAAATGTATATATACACACACACATTCACACACACACACACACACACACAGTCTGTCCAGAAGGTATCCAGCCAAGTAATATGAAAAATAGAGACATTTATTGATGGAGATACAAGACACAAGAAACGTACATAGGACAACGACGCATCAGTCCCCTTCAAAGTAGGCACCTTGAGAACCTCACACAGTTCTCCCATTTGCCATCAGCTGCTCCATCATATTTTCCTGAAACTCATTGACAATCTGAAACTTCTTCCCTTTCAAAGGTGATTTAAAAGTGGGAAAAGCCAGAAGTCACAGAGCACCAAATCTGGGCTCTAGGGGTACTGAGTCAGCTGGGTGATTTGATGTTTTCTGAAAAACTCTGCATAAGATGTGATGCATAAGTGGATGCATTGTCATGATGAAGCTGCCAGTCACCAGTTGCCCATAGCTGTGGCCTTCTGAATCATCCAAAATAGTTTCTGCAGAGGAATGTTCAAGATTAACGCAAGCTTTTATACAGATTTGTTGCTGTACTCAGTCATTTTGAATGTGACAGCCACACAGTACACATGCTCACTCAACAGCATCTACTGCCTCCACTGACTAGTACACTGAAGTTGACATTGTTCACACATGCGCATTCCAGTCCACGCTCCTTGGCTGCCAGGCTATATTGATGTCATGCTAAATGTTCTCGTTGTATTAACAATTGCTGGACTTTTTCCACCAGACCTCGTATATACATATATGTATGTATACACATGTGTGTCTGTATACTGGAAATATGTGAAACATTACCATGGTTCCAAGAGTCAGAGCTATATAGAAAGGTAGAGTCAGCAAAGCATTTCCTCTCATTCCTACCACCCCATCCCATTTCCTCATTCTTCCCAACCTGTTCCATCTCCCCCTACAGATAGCCAATCTCATTAGTTTGTGACTTAAAAATGTGGAATGCATCATGCATCATTTGTTCCTTCCATCATTTGCATGTCATTCTTGTGCAAGGGCCATGCTAATCTTCTTTATATTGTTCTAACTTTAGCAAATATGCTGCTGAAATTGAGCACCAGAGTGATCCTTTTAAAACAGAAACCAGATCACGTCACCTCTGCTCAGAACCCTCCAGTTGCTTCCTGCCACCATCAGAATAAAATCCAAACACCTCACTCTACCTTCCTTCCTTCAAGGCCCTCCCTGATTTGGCTTCAGTTTCCTGTTTATTTCCTCAGTGTTGTGCCCTTGCTCACTCTCCTCCAGGCACAATTGCCTTCTTGCTGTCACCCGCATGCCAAAGGCTCACCTGCCTTCAGGCCTTTGTATTTCTTCTTCCTGAAGCCCAGCAAGCTGCTCGCCTCTAGACGTTCCCAGGGCTGGGTACTTCCAGTCTCTGGTAAACATTTTTCATAGAAGCCTTCCCTAAATAGACCACTCTCTAACCCTTTTTCTGTTTTTGTCTTGGTTTATGGTACTCATCACTACCTGGCATAGGACTATATTTATTTACTGTCTGCCTCTGTCACTAGAATATAAGCCCCATGAGATAGGGGTTTTATTTTGTTAGAAGAGTGCTTGGCATATAGTCAATAAATAAGCAGTTGGTAAATATTTGGTGAATGAAGTTTGTGTCAAAAGCTTTACATGTATTATTTCATTTAATTCTCATCAAAAGAAAAAAAAAACACTTGGAGGTGAGTGCTATTTTTATTCCAGTCTACAGATGGGAAAATGTAGGGTCTGAGGGGTCACAGGCTTGCCCCAGGTGGCACAACTGGGAAAGGGGTGACTGGAGCTGTGGCCCTCGTCCTCCCTGAGACCGATGCCCAGCCGTGCCTGTCACTTCCTGGGCTGTGTGCTAGCGTGTCTTTGCAAACTGCACCTTAGTGGTTGTACTTGCCACACACGGTCATTGTAAAGATGTAACATGGGTGCATTTCGTCAACCGTAGAGCAATGTGCAAATACGAGCATTATTAATATGATTGCTCTACTTATAGCTATCATTTAGTAAGTACTCACAGTGCATCAGCCTGAGCTCTACATCATTCTGTCATCTAATCCTTACAGCAAACTTGTGGAAATGAAACAAACGGAAACCCAGGAAGATGAGGCAACTTGCCCAAGGTGACAAAGGTGCTTATGCCGGCAGTTGTCTCACTCATTTCCTCCTTGTCCCGAGCAAAGGGATATGCCTTTGTGAACTCCTTGTTGCTTTTTCACTGTCAGGTAACTTATTCCTGGAATTCCAGGAGGAGTTGGAGCGAGTCTATAAGGTCTACTGTGCAAACTATGACCAGGCCTTGCTGCTGGTGGACTCGTACCGGCGGGAGCCAGAGCTGCAGCGGGAGATCCAGGACATCATCGAGGCCGTGGTGTGAGTAGAATGACCAGTGGGCATTTGTTCCTGCTGCATGGGCCCCAAGGTCAGGGACCGTTAAGGCCTCAGCTCCATTCGGTGCTGCTCGCACTGCTGCAGGAGGGTCTCGGTCAGGATAGGCCAGCTATGCTACAGACATAGACAACTCCCAGCTCTTGGTGGCCTCAAACCTCAAAGGTTTATACCTCCCTTGTGCTCCATTGGGGCTTTTTGCATCATCCTCACGCTGGGACTCACGCTGATGGCAGCTGCTCTCTGGAACATTGCCAGGAATGGTGGGAAAGGCAAAAAGAGCTCTGGAGGGTTTAACGCTGGTAACCGAATGCTCCATCTTGGAAATGATAGCCATCACTTCTCATAACTCACGGGCCAGAACTAATCCCATAGCCTTATCCAACTACCAGGAGGCCAGGGTATGCTGTCCTACCATGAGTCAAGAAGTGGAAAGGCAGAAACATTTGGTGGACAGCTTTCGTGACTTCCGTAGGAAGGGCAGTGAGGTGGGGCGAACTACGTGTTGTAGGCAACGGCGTTGGGAAGCAGGTGTTTATCACCCGGGGAGGCCTCTCTACAGGTGGCTGAAGACCCGCGCCACAGGAAAGAATCAGTCCTGCTCTGGGTGACATCACAGCCAGTGGGTGGAAGCTCCAGGTAGGGATATGTAGAGAGAAAAAAAATTTAGCCCTGGCTGGTGTGGCTCAGTGGATTGAGTGCTGTCCTGCAAACTGAAAGGTCGCTGGTTCAGTTCCCAGACAGGGCACATGCCTGGGTTGTGGGCCAGGTCCCTAGTTAGGGGCATGCGAGAGGCAACCATACATTGATGTTTCTCTCCCTCTCTTTCTCCCTCCCTTCCCCCTCTCTAAAAAAAAAATGAATAAAATCTTAAATTAAAAAAAATTTAAATTTTGAATGGGTAACATAGTTACATGGTTCAAAATCTTAAAAACATCTAAATTTATACAGTAAAAAAAAAATCTTCTCAACCTCGCCCCTTTATCCACTCAATTACAACTCTCATCCCCAAAGTTAAGGTAGCCACTTTAAAATTTTTAATGGATCTTTGCAGTTCCTTTATGCATGTACAAGCAAATTCAAATACCTATTTAATTGCTACATAGAGTTCTTTTCTAGGGCAGGTTTATGGTTTATTTAACCATCACCCTGTTGGTAATTTGTGTTGTTACCAATTTTTTACTGTCATAAATATAGTTGCTGAATAATTTCTACCTTGCTTGCTTGAGCTGATATTTCTAAGGGTAGATGACGAGAATAGGATTGATGGAACAGAGGGCTTGTACATTTCACATACTGCCAAACTGCTCTCCGAAGGGATCTTGCCAGTTGATTCTCCCACCAACAGGGCCTGTTTCCTCACATTGATCTTGCTCTGGGTGTTATCTTGTTATTTTTGTTGCCTATCCGAAGGCTGCATACAAGTTTTTCTCCAGATAACCTTTGAAAGGCCACACATGTAAGCAGCTGCTATAACTCTGCAGCGTGGCCGCTTATGGAGAAGAAATGCGATCATCTCTTTGAGGGCCCCCTGCCCTGTGATTTGTGAGGTGACAGTTGTCCCCATGAGGCAGGTAGACCTTTCCTATGGAAAGTAAGCCCAGAGGGCAGAGTTTTGCCAATACCTGGCAATTGTGTCCACCTCTCCTGCCTGTGGTCAGCCAGGCACTAGGCAGCCCTTGGGGAGAGCAGATGGTCAGCGTAGGTGTGTCCTGATGGTTGGATCCCAGCCCTGCTGTCCCACTCCCTGCAGTTCATGATGGGGCTCCCACCTGCTCTGCTTATTTTTAGCATCATGGCTGATCTTTTCTGGCCATTTGGTCTGGAGACTTTTCCTGAGAACAAAGAGCAAGAACCTAGGGTAGCATGGGGGGCGGGGGCCAGAGAATGGTCGTGAACAGCGTTTGTGAGTCTTTGTGGAGGAGGCGCGCTTGGACATTGAGGTTTGGAACCCTTATGGAAGCCAGGACTGAGGGCTGGTGGTCGTGATGAATGGAAGACTGTTGGAGACACCCTAGATGTCCCAGGTGCCGTTGACTCAGACACTCTTTCTGCAAACACCAGCCGTAATCATGAAGAGGACTGGAGAAATAGTCATCCATTCATAACTAGCGCCTCTGAAAGGGACCTTTGCACCATTAGTTCCTGTGGGGTTTTTTTTTTTTTTTACTTTTTTATGAAAAATTTCAAACCTATAGAAAAAAAGAAGAATGCAATGAACACTTACATATCCACCACCTGAAATGAACCAGTGTTAATCTTTTGCTGTTTGCTTCATGTATGTTTATGCTGAACCATTTAAAGGAAAATACACCTGCTATGATTTTTTTCCTTTAAATACTTCAAATGCATCCCTAAACATTAAGCTCCTGTAATTTGAAAAGCTTTTCCTTTTTAAAGCAGCAGAACCATTTTATTAAATGAAATATCGTGCAGATGCCCAATATGGAGAGTTGTGCTTGTGACATATCCAAGTGGAGATGTTAAGTAGGCAGTTAACTAGGTGAGTCTGGAGCTCTGGTTGTAAGAAGAAAACGAAGATCTAGTTACGGCTGTGCTTAATGCCACAGGACTGTGTGAAGTCAGTACGAGAGTGGGTGGAGAGAGAGGGGAGGAGGCCCCAGAGCACCCCAGCATTGGAGAGAGCCCCACAGAGTTGGCCAAGAGAGTGACGTGGAGTAGAAGAAGGACAGAGGGATCCTTCTTGGGCCAAAAGAAGAAAGTGTTTCGAGAAAGAGGGAGTGGTCATTTGTGTTTGCTGTTGAGTGACTGAGTGAACTGAGGGCAGAGCGCCAACCCTTAGGTTTGGAGCAGATGGGGAACCAAGGCCTAGAAATGGAGTAAAATGAGAACTAGCAGCATCTATCTCATTTCTAGACCTCACAGAAGACAGGAGAGGAAACTGAAGACCACAGAAGGAGGTGACTTGGCTTGAGATCACTCAGGGAGTTCAATGGCAGAGCTGGAACTAGAAGCCCAGATTCCCTGGTGTCCCCACAGGCGGGCTTTTCCTTCCTAATTACGGCCTTCTCCCTCAGGCCACAAGCTGGACCCTCAGGCCTCAGCTTCTTACTGGTCAGCCCTCTGCAGAGGATTACCAAGTACCCACTGCTGCTGCAGAAAATTCTGGAGAACACGCTCCCTGATGCCAGTGCCTACCCTGTTCTCCAGAGGGCGACCTCTGCCCTCCAAGATGTGAACACCAACATCAATGAGTACAAGATGCGCAAGGAAGTGGGTAAGGACTTGGGCACTTTAGAGGATATATCAGCAAGCGTACTTCTAATTACAAAAAATCTCATCTCAGATTGGCTTCACCAGTAACGGGCATGTAGTAGGTCATGTAACCACAAGTCCAGAGGTAAGTGGTCTTAGGCAGGGTTTGATCAGGGGGCTGGCCCCATTTCCCAATAAGTCTCTTCTCTCTGCTCTTTACTGGGTCACCTTCATCTTCAGGCTGGCATCCCTCCCAATAGTAAATGGCTGTTGTTGTTCCAAGATGCACATCTGCATACCACACCCTCCAAGATAAGTCAGGACCTTTCTCCTCTTAGCCAGAAAAATTAAACCGGAGCTTCACTCTGACAGGACCCACTTGGGTCATGTGCTTACCCTGAACATAGGTTAGGGGAATGCCATGAGCTGATTGGCTTAGGCCTGGGTCATGCACCCTTCTTTGAATGAATCACTGTGGGACCCATCCCTTGAACTAAAGTGAGATCACCATTCAAACCATATGGCTGCTGTACTTCGGAGGAGAAATGAATACTGGGGTGGGAGTTGGGGGGTGGGAGGGGAGGGCTGTGTGTATACCTGGGTGGGGGGAGAGGGTAAGCAGGGATCCTGCCTCTCAGGTTGTTAAATCAGAAAGGTTTAAAAACTGAAGCAGTGTCCCCAGGAGAGAGAAACTCATTTGTACAACTGAGACAGTACGATAATGACAAATCAGCTAATGTTTACTAAGGGCTAACTATGATAAGTTTTTCATTTATTATCTTGTTTGGTCCTTACAGTGGCCCTCTGAGATTGGCACTGTTAGTCCTATTTCACAGTTGGGTAAACAGAGCTTTGGTCATTTGCTCCAGGCCACAGAGCTGGTAAGGGACAGAGCGAGGTTTCACACTGAGTCCTGGGGTCAGGTAATCACACTGAGCCAGGTGTGGGCAAGTATGGTCCCAGTTTGGCCAGGCTAACAGCGACTGAGGGACCTCAGGCGAATCACCCCTCGCTTGGGTTCTTTTTCAGAAAGTAGATCCACAACCATCATCTTGTGTGATGAGGATTTACAGATGAGGAAACTGAGACCCAAGATGTGGCGATCGCCAAAGTCGAGCAGGCTGTTCAGCCAAGGCTCACACCTCAGAGTGAGGGCTCAGCCCTGCGCTCGCCTTCCCTGGCTCAGCACCATTCTAATGGTGTTTGAGAAGAGGGCCCACTCAGGTGCCTAGCCGGGGGGGTTGGATGCTTGCTTCCCTGGGTCAGCTTCCATCCCCTCAGCCCCGCTCTCTGTCGGTGCAGCCTCCAAGTACACCAAGGTGGAGCAGCTCACTCTCCGGGAGCGGCTGGCCCGCATCAACACACACACCCTCTCCAAGAAGACCACACGGCTGAGCCAGCTGCTGAAGCAGGAGGCGGGGCTCGTGCCCAGGGTGAGCACAGGCAGGAGGAAGGGTCGTACCCTACGCATCCCAAGGGGAAAGCAAGATGGAGCAGTGGGTGGGGCATCCAGGGGCAGTGGGAGGGGCTTAGACTGCTCTCAGAGATGAGAAAACTGAGGCTAAGGGAGGGAGGTGACTTCCCAGGTATAGGCCGCACTGGCCGCCACTTGATTTAGAGGAGCCTGTGTAGGGCTTTCTCCACTGCACCTTGTGCTACTCTCTCTTTGGGACCTCTTGACACAGATAGGAGAGCTAATCTCTGGGTCTGGTCCTGGAATCAGCTTTGATGGCTACCAGTAGCAGCCCAGGTTGATCACGTACTTACTCTGAACCAGGCATTACTTGATCTACACAAGGAAGTAGGTGTTCCTATTAATGCCCCCCGCCCCTCCCTATTTTGCTTTTGAGAAAATCAGAGGGGGTAAAACACTTCGCCAAGCTGCACTCACTGCCTCTAACTGTCCGACTCAGCTTTTGGGCTCAGACGTGCAGGTCCTTGGAAAGGGGGTCCTCCGTGAAGACGGGGTGCAGATACATGGTGTACACTGCCCCCATGTGGGTATTCTCAGCCCTCACAAGCGTAACTTTACTCTCAGACGGAAGACAAGGAATTTGATGACTTAGAGGAGAGGTTCCACTGGGTGTCGCTGTGTGTGACTGAGCTGAAAAACAACGTGGCTACTTACCTGGACAACCTGGAGGTGAGGATCCTGCGGTTAATAATGGGTGGGGCTGGGCTGGGTTCCCTGGGCAGGAGGCGTGCGGGCCCATCTGGTAAACTGGCAAAGGCACCAGCTGCAGGAACCAAATGAAGAGGTCATCCAGGGGCTGGATGAGGACCCGTGGGCAAGCATTGCACAGCCCACAGCTCATTGGACTGGGCAGCTTCTGAGCCCACTGAGCTCTCGGGTTGGGGTCAGAGCCTTCAGAAAGACCCTGCCAGACTGGCACCCAGAGCAGGGGTGACAAACTCAGGTGCTTAAAGGGGCCAAGCACTCAGTGAAGTGTACATGTGTCCAAAGCCTAGTGCCGGATTATGAGACATTTTTGGTAGTTAAATACATATGTAATACTTTTTGAAATTTGAATGATCGAATGAATGAGTGAATGAAAGAGTAAAATCTAAAGGGGCAGTTAGTACTTGACTCAGGAGAGTTGTTGCGGCGGCCCCAGCGCAACCAGCTCTGACTTTAAAGAAAAATAGAAAACTAGAAACTCAGACTTTTAGGTGAAATCTCAAGATGAGTCACGTGCAACTAATTAAATAAAAATTTAAATGTTACTCAGTCCCGAGGAAATATATTTCTATAAGCTGCACTCAGCCCAGAGGAACAGCAGGTTGCGTTCCCATCCAGCATGGCACTTTCCTTGTGCCAAAACTCCCCACTCGTTCTCGTCATCGATGCTGACTCATTGCATCCACTGTGTACCTTTTACGTGGTTTTATTCTCAGTCGTGTCCATTTGCGCAAACCGGCTCGGCTGCACGGTGATGGGCTCTTTGGATAGTGGGACTTGGGGTGGCGCTGTCGGAAGTATGTACAAGGAGGGCGGCGGTCATTTCACACTCCCCTGGGCGGCCAGGTCACCCTGCTTGTTCCCGCTCCGTCCTGGGCCCCCCCACCCCCAGTGGAAGCATCTGAGCAGCAGCGGGAGATGGAAGGGAAAACACTCAGGGCTGAGAGGAGAGAACCCAGAGATGCATGAGAGACACGGCAGGCTTTGCAAAGGAGGACGAATATTTGGAAGCTTTCAGGCTGCGTTTCCCTAGATGCAGGGCTCAGATGACAGAGACAGTGTTGACATGAAATCCTGGAATCCCACAGGGACAAAGTGACTCCCTCTGTTGATCCTCCGAGGCCAGGAAAAGCCTCTCTTGCTGGCGTGTCTTTAACACAGGCAGAGCCAGTCTCGGGCTGGGAGCCGTCAGCAGGCAATGACATCCAGACAGAACTTGACAACTTTGTTTTTATAGCCATTATTCTTACATGCCTATTTATGGCAATTATAACTCATTTTTCCCTTTATGGTAGTGTCATAAGATGTTTTTTAAAGAAATGCCTTGGTTTAAATAGGAACACTTAGTGGATTGAAAGAAAAGTAGCAATAGACCATGTGGATTATGGACATGGCAAACCGTCACAAGGGAGGCATGCAGACGGCGAGGTCTGGGACGTGCTGGAATAGGGAGAAAGGTGTTGGCTTGGTCTAGGAAGAACTTTCTAATCAACCAAGTTGCCCAAGGGTAGAATAAGCTCGTGCTTCCCTGTCACGGGATGCAGAGGTAAGATGGCCACGGCGGACCATGATTTTCTGTCTCTCATTTGCCCTGGTCCAGGCTTTCCTCCGCTTCCGGCCGCAGGAATGCGACCTGGATGTCCCTGAGGGGCCTGTGGGGCAGTACCGCAACCTGGCAGGGGACCTGCAGCTCCAGGCCTTCCCTGAGTTTGTGAGTGGAATTTCTCCTTCTTTCTTTGTTGGGTCAGCGACACAACCTGTAAGGATAATATTTAGACTTAAGGCCCTGCACACAGTTGTCACATCCATGACCACCCTGGGTAGCTCGCAGGCAGAGATTATTATTAGCGTGTTTTACCGATAAATATAGCCCCAGCTAATGTTTACTGAGCCTCACTGTCTGCCAGGCACTGAGCTTAGCCCTTCACAGTCTTCACCTCATTTAATCCTCACAACACAGCTTATGGGGTAGATACTTTTAATAGTCCCATTTGGCAGATGGGAGCTGAGGCTCAGAGGGGTGACTGCCCACGTCACTCAGATGGTCAGTGGCAAGCTGGAGTCCGAGCCCTAAAGCCTGTGCTTTTGACCGCCACTCTAAATCTTTTTCAAGATCTGTGCACAGTTAAGATATTAAGAAGTGACATATTAAATACCTACTCTGCTAATATCGTTACGTACTCTCTCCCTATTTTTCAGATAGGCACCTTGAGGCCCAGAAAAGTTAGATAACATGCTAGAGGTCACAGCTAGCCAGTGGGTGTAGGACTGGGGCCCAGGCCTGCCTACCTTCAAAGGCCCCTTTCCCAGTGCCCACTGGCTACTGCCTCTTTCCTGGACTGCCAAGCTCATCTCTCCCCACAGAAGCAGCGACTGGAAGGCCTGGTGTGGCGGCCACTGTGCAACCTGGCCAAAGCCCTGGCCGGCCCTCGGAACCTGATCAAGAAGCGTCTGGACAAACTACTGGACTTTGAGCGGCTGGAAGAGAAGCTGCTGGAGGTGGGCAGCGTGACCTATGAGGAGGAGGCGGCGCGACACACGTACCAGGCGCTCAACTCCCTGCTGGTGGCTGAGCTCCCGCAATTTAACCAGCTGGCCGTGCAGTGGCTGGGCCAGATCCTGCGCACATTTGTGGCTCTCCAGAGGGACCTTGCAAAGCAAGTGCTGCTGAGGGCAGAGGGCAGCATGGCCCAGGTAAGACCTCTGGGACCGGGCGCCCCTGGGGAATGGCCTTGCAACCCCTTCAGCCCTCTTTTGCAGGGGCTGGGATGGAGGTTGGGCCTTCCAAACAGGCCATGAGGTGCTTAGGAGGAGGCTGGGACCTTCTGGATATCTCTCATGCCTGCTCTCCTTCCATTATTGGAGCCAAACCAAGAAAGCAAGGATAGAACTGGGGCTCCAGGTCATTCCTAGGCTCTGGAGTGCAGAAGCACAGGAGGTTCTGCTTGGGGGATGGTAGGTGCCAGGGCTGCTCCCAGGGGTGGATTAGATGTTGGTGGCAGAGACAAGGACCCTTCTACACAGTCAGGAGTAAATGCGTCCAGCCAGTGTTCCTATTGCCACCGCTTCCAGCGGCTGCCTCCCCAAGAGTGCTTACTGTGTATCTGTTTAAAACACCTCCTGTGTATGATCCCACTTACTCCTGAAACAACCCACGAAAAAAGTATTATTATTATTCATATTCAAAAGGATGCTGAGGCACAGAGAGGTTAAGCAATTTTCCCAAAGCCACACAGCGAATAGAGGGATGTGAACCCTGCCAATGCAACTCCAGAGCCTGGGTTCTGGACTGAATGCTCAACAGCCAATAAAACGAACAATCTGCTGAAAGCATAACTAGGTCGCAGAGAGAGTTGGATAAACCTCCAAACTGTGCTAACTGTGATTTTGGAATTTTGAAGACTCAGGTTGATACAGGAAAGAATCCTCAGCTGCTTTCAGATCTCTCCCTGATGTCAACATCAGAGCTGAATGGCCTGCGGGTCCAAGTTTGGAAGCAGCTTCCATACTCCACACAGCACATGCTGTATCCTGGGCTTCTTGGCCCCCAGCTCAGCTCTCCCCATCCAGTTCATTGCATGAAAATTCCTCCCAAATGCCCTCCCCGCTCCAGTACCTTTCCAGCCCATAGCCCCGCTCTGTGCCTGTAGCCCCCACTTCCAGTGCACGCCACTGCTGGTCGGCGTGCACACACTGCTTCCTCGGTCTGGGTGCCCCTCCCCATCGCCCCCCTTGCCTTTCACGATATCTGGTATGTGGTAGGAACTCCCCAAGTATGTCACAGATGTCCATGAAGGCCTCAGAATCCCTGTCCCCAGTGGGAGACCCTATCCTCTATGCTCCAGCAGCCCATAGGATGTGCTTCAGCTAAGCACTTTTTGGAGCCCGCCTTCTGCTGGGTGATGGATGAAGCTGTTTTTCCTCATCGAGGGGGCTGGGACTGTGGGCTTTTCGTCTTTGAATTGAATTCAGCCTGAACCAACTGCAGGAAGAAGCATTCCTCTTTCCTGAAGTACAAGGGCAAAGCTGAGGAGATGATCTTTTCATTCTCCTCCCACCCGCCAGTGTTCCCTCCAGGGCTGCCCGACCCCCGGGTATTTAGGCCGGGCTGCGAGGGGCCGGGGAGTGTTGCTGATGCCAGAAGGGGAGATTGACTCCATAAAGCGGAAAGGGGCATTCTTGGTCGGTCCTGTAATGCAGAAGGTTAGGGCCCGCCCGCAATTGACGCCAGTCCCCGTGTCCCTGTCTCATGGCCTGTTCCCCCGAACTCATCGTGTGGAACCTGGGGAAGACCTGCAGGGTAGAGCCTCAGTTCGTCTGGGGAGGGGGAAGGGAGCCTCTAAATCAGAGCCAAGAGCAGTGAGTGTGCAGACAAGCAGAGAACATGTCTCTGTTAGCTCTGGGGTCTCACTTGCTCCTAGGTGGTCCACTGAGAGTGTGGGAGAAGCCGGAGGCCTGGCTGCATTCATTACAGATGATGTTGTCAGGGCTTGACTTTCCTTGCATCCCTAGCTCTGTTTCCCTCTCCGGATTGGCTTTATTCTCAGGCAGGCCTTTCTCTATGTGTGGGAGAGATGACTCCCAACAGCTGACTTCCAAGCACTTACCTTTACATCTCAGAATCCAAAGGAAGAGCGACCTTCTCATTCCCAGCCTTCACGTCCTAAGTCTGAAGGGAGGATTCTGACTGGCCCTGTCCAGGTCCACTGTCCAATCCTTGGACCGATCAGGGTGGCTGGGATAAGGGACGCCATGACTGCTCGTTCTGTGGCTTCGAGCCCCATGATGGGCAATTCTGCAATTCCACTGGACCCCCATAGAAGGACGTGTTCTCAAAGGAAAGCTGGGCAGTAGGCAGACAAAGCCGACAGCTGGCCAGGACAAAAAGGCCCATTCTAACACACCCGGGGTTTACGTGTGGGCTGACAGCGTCTGTCCCTACCCAGCTACCCCACCGCCAGCTCCCTGAGCCAGCCTTCAGGAAACTGGTGGAGGACGCTCTCAGCCAGACCACTCACCAGCTTCGCTCCTTTCAAGAGAACTTCGAGAAAGTGCTGCCACCTCCCACTGTACATGTAAGTGACCCTCCTTCACCTGCCCCTGGGGTGAGGCTCAATCCCCTATTTCTTCTCCCTTTTCTATTTCCAGTGTTTCCTGTTACCCTGGAAACATTTCCCGTTTCCCTCTCTCCCTTCTCTCTGAGAGCTGTGGGGTGGGGGGATCCATCCCCCCCTGCACACATACACACGCTCTTCATGGCCAAGAAGCATCAGAGCAGAACAGAACTCTTGGGTTAAGAATAAGGAAACCCAGACGTTTTAATATTGAGTGAAATTAGGCATAGTAACGAGCAAGGGGAATTTAACATCCAAAAGCCTGGAACTTCTTCACACTTTCCATCAAAATTTGCTGTTTCCTCATCATCTTCTCACCGTCCCTGCTTCATCTATCAGCCTTCAGAATGAATCAAGTTTGAATAAGGACTCACTTAAATTTTCTTTTCACTATGGCATTTCTTAAGAATTAAAGTATAGTTGACATACAGTATTATATTAGTTTCAGGTATACTTGACATTTATGTACCTCAGGATTTATATAATCACCATTGTGAGACTCTCTGTCACCATACAAAGTTATTACGATATTATTGAGTATATTCCCAGTGTTATCCATTACGTCCTTATGACCTGCTTATTTTAGAACGAAGTTTGTATGCTATGGGATTTCTTATTGTAAATGACAGTATTTCAGCTCCGTAATGGTTTACAAAACTTTAGATGGCCCAGTGCTTTTTTTTTTTTGGTAAAGCTTGTCTCCCACAGGGGATGTGACGTGGGTCCTCCACCTGGGGAGAGGAAGTGTGCGGAGAAGGAACAGAATAGACACTCAGATGAGTCACAAGAACCTCCTCTCTCTTTTTACTTACGACAAAACAACAGTTTTCTTATTGGAAAAGCAATCCATGCTGATTGCACAAAGAAGAGAAGACTTGGAAAAACAAAAAGAAGAACCAAATGGGAACATAATAATCCCAGGGTGTGTTGAAAATTGGTAGTGAGGGAAGAGACCCCCCCGCCCCCCGCCTTCCCCACCACCACCACGCACACCTGCTGTGAATTCCTGGCTTACTTGGCTCAGGGCACAGAACCCGCAGAAGGGGGGTGGCCCGCCCAGGGAGTGCTCCTGTCCTCTGCGCCAGGCGGGGGCTGCCAGGCTTGAGAAGGGAGGCACATCCTGGCTGTGCTGTGGCTTTTATACTTGTGTTGATGCCACTGGTCTGAAGAAAAGCTACCTCATCTCTACACTTCCATTTTAGGGCCTATTTGAAACATTAGGTTCTCCTGGTACTTGATCCTGACATAGGGAACACATGGGAGTATGGGTAATGGGAGAGCCTGTGCCCAAATGTCCCCAAGGGACACCGCTCTCTTTCTCCCTACATCCAGCACCTCCCTGCCCAGAAATAACTAACCATGTAAACATGGTGAATATAAATACACCCATATATATGTATATATACAGAGAGAGAGAGAGAATCTACAGTCAACATTTTTAGTTTCTTCTTTGTTTTACAAAAGGGGGCATTCACCCCTGAACCCCTTCTTGTTGATACTCTTGCTGGAAGCAGTGAATAAAAAACAAGGCCTGCCAGGAGATTTTTGGTCGCGCTGGGTCGTTCTTCCCCGCCAGGTGGCAGTTTCCACCAGGGCAGAGCTCTCCCCCGAGCTTCTGCTACACCATCCACAAGGCTTACTGTGCCTTGTTCACAGTAGGCACTCAGTAAATGCAATACCTGTGAACTGAAGACTCATGGAGTAAAAGATAGCACCCCCTTCATTCCCACGTGTGGGAGGTCAGCTGTGCTGCCCCGTGCTGGCTGAGATGCCCGATGAGTAAGGCCTGGTGCCCACATGAAGCTCAGTCTCATAGGATTGAAAGCCCCGTGCAAGGCATCTCCATGGGGGTCCATTTAGCTCGGTGCTATGGGCAGAATTTAGAGCCCAACCCTGGAGTTTTGTAACGGAGCCATTTCAGAACCTGAATTAGAATTTTAGAAAACCGTAGAAGCTGAGACCTGGGAGGGATTTTAGAGAATTAGATGAGATGCCTGTGGATGTGTTTCTCATCTGATCTAGCTGTCTGTTAGTCCGGGGACCGACGGGCAGCTGTTGGCCCCAGCTTTGATGCCCTAACTCAAGCACCTGTCTGTCTCTGTCTCTCCTCTCCCCAGCCACTCCTTCCAGGGGCTGAGCGCCAGGTGCAGGCCCTCCTGAGCAAGTATGGCCCAGGAAAGCTGTACCAGGTGACGAGCAACATCAGCGGGGCTGGGACTCTGGACCTGACACTGCCACGGGGCCAGATCGTGGCCCTCCTTCAAAACAAGGACACCAAAGGCAACAGCAGCCGCTGGCTGGTGGACACTGGGGGTACGTAGCACTTTGTGGGCCCGTACCCTCCATCTGGGAAAATGGGCCAATGGGCAGTGGGGAGACACAGGTGCTGGGGGCGGGCAGAGTGTCTGGCTGTGCAAATCTAGGTGGGAATGAGCCCAGGTGAAAATGCGCGGCTTGGAACACAGCGGCTCAGTGTGGTGCGTGAAATGCCAAAAAGAAAGCATCAGTCTTTCATTGCAACATCCGTTATCAAGCACCTACTGTGTGCTGGGTGCTGTGTAAGGAACATAAGGACCCTGCCTTGGGGACCTCACAGACCCATGGGGTGGACAGAACTTTAGCACCAGCCTGAGAGATGGAGATGCACAGAGAAGGGATGCTTGGATCCTGGCTTCGTGGATGGACGTCTGATGTCCGGAATGAGGGAGGTATTGTCTGGTCCCGTCTGCATTGGTCACGCCCTTGGGGTGTGGTGCTCAGGTCAGGGTGCCCCAGTGTAACTGGGCAGGAGGCAAGTGGCATTGTGAACCCACGAGAAGGACCAGCAGAGTGTCTTCCAAAGGAGACATGTGACCCTCGGGATGAGACTTCCACGGGATTATTGGGAAGGGATTTCGGGAGAGCTGTCCCCCATCAGACAGTTTATTATAATTGTTACTGAAAGATATTAATATATATTAGAAAAACAACTAGTACCTAAACCCATGATTTTATTCATATTATTCTATAGTACAAGACTAGGTTTTAAAAAGTGAGTCTATAAAAAACATTAAGCAAATGGTGTGAATCCAGGAGAAATCGCGAAAGGACAGCCTGTGGCTCAAGTAGAAAACAGCTGAATGGGGATTAGAGCAAGGCCCCTGGGGCCACGAGGACTGGGTGTGGAGCCTAACGCTGCCACTGAACTGCGTGGCCTTGGAGAAGTGTCGGAGCCCCGCCGAGCTGGCCCCGCGGTAAAAGGGAGAGTTGGCGTGAACGCTAGATAGTGCCCGCTCTGGAACCCAGTGTGCTCTTGGGAAATGGCGGCCACTCAGAATGACAGGAGCCAGAACAGCACTGGAGTAACTGCACAGGAGAGGGAGCTGGGGACACCCGGAGAAGAGAAAAGCGATTTCCGCCTCGTGGGAAAGGCTGCCCGGGGTATGGGAGCAGCCTCGCTCAGGGCTGCCACCTTCAGGGGTTGGGGACCCGTGGCGGCAGCCCCAGGAAAGCCGTTTTCACCCCAGACCGAGGAAGAGCTACTTCTCTCTGTCAGAGCTGCTCAAAACTGAGTGGACGCCTCAGTTGGGAATGAGCTCCCTGTCCCTGGGGGCGTGCACGCAGAAGGCAGAGTGAGTGCGGGGCAGGGGGCGGTGCTGTGAGGTACCTAGATGTCCTTTGCAGTCCCTCCTTAGTGCTGAGAAGCTGTGTTGGAGGCATTGGTACCAATGCATGGTAGTAATTTCCTCTGTTACTTCAAGGGATGGAGAAGGGGGCATGGAGCCAGATTCATGGTCTATATGTCCGTAGGACATCGAGGGTATGTGCCAGCTGGGAAACTGGAGCTGTACCACGTCGTCCCCAGTGAAGAGAAGCTCGGGGAGCAGGCGCGGCCTCATGGGGACTCCCGACATCTAACACCAGAGCCCGCCCCAGCCCCAGGCCCCTCTGTCCCAACCAGGACCCAGGTGAGTTTGGGGATGGAGTGGGGGCTTTGATTCTTCTCTGATCTGGGGGTGAGGGAGCGCTATCCTGTGAGACTGAGGCCTTGATGGATGGCCACCCCAGTGTCCCCGCCAGCGGCAGGACCCAGAGAAAGGAAGTGCCGATATACGCCGCCATATGCAGTTAGAGACAGAAGACCGAGTATTGCATGGTTTTATTTCTATGAAACGTTCGGAATAGGCAAAGGTGCAGAGACAGGAAGATCAGTGGTTGGCAGGGACCTTGGGGGGAGGGAGGGCTGGGAAGTGACCGCCAACTGCTATGGCTTTTCTGGGGGGTGAAGATGTTCTGGAATTAGACAGCAGAGATGGTTGCACAACCACACGAACACATTAAAAACGGCCTGTGAGACAAATAAGTTCCTTAACTTCTCTGAGTCTCAATGTCCATATCTGAAAAATGGGGCACATAGAACCCTAGAACTGTGAACATCAAAGCCAGGCGAGGTGCTAGAATGGGGCCTGCCACACGGTGGGCGCTCACAGAGGAAGGAGCGGAAGCCGTGTCCTCTGGCACAGAGGGTGTGCTCAGGGGGCGAAGAGGCGCTTGACGGCCCAGCGACGGTGACTGACCGGCTGGGAGGGATGCGGGTCCACCGCCTCTCTGGGGTGGGTCTGTCTGTCTCCCCGCCCTGGCCATCGCGGTGCCACTCCCCATGTGTTTTAGGTGGTCGCCGTGTACCCCTTTGTGGCCCGGAGCAGCCATGAAGTGAGCCTGCAGGCAGGCCAGCCCGTGACCGTCCTGGAGGCCCAGGACAAGAAGGGGAACCCGGAATGGAGCTTCGTGGAGGCGAACGGGCTGCAGGGCTACGTGCCTTCCAGCTTCCTGGCCAGGGCCCCGAGCCCGGCACCCTGGGGCTGGAGTCTGCCCCCCTAGGGAGCCCTCCTTGGAGCCCATGTCGTCAAGGGAGGGGGAGGATTAGAGGCTGCGAGCCTGGGACAGAAGAGAAGCAAAGAGCAGCAGGGTGGAAGGGGAGACCAGGCCAGGGCGGGGCGAAGGGCTCCCAGGAGGCGGCGGGAGAGGTGGGCACGCCTTGCAGAGAGTCTGGTGTGGATGGCACGACAGGCCCCAAGCGGGGCGGCTCTTGGTGACTCCAGAAGGAGGTGGTTCCAACCTGGAGTCACAGCAGCCTGGGTAGCAGGTCAAGTTAAGGATTTGTCGTAGCTTACCTGTGCCCTGACCTGGGCCTGCCCGTTGAGCGGGTCACCCAGAATGTCACTGGTGTGTGCGCAGGGAGGGGTGCTGGAGAAGCCCAGGCCTGCCTGGCCAGACACTTCACTTCCCACACGGGGTGTCAGTAGGCACCACAGCCAACCAGCCATCTTCCGTTTCTCTGCGCTGGCAGCTGAGCTATGCTGAGCAGCGAACCCCTGGGAGCCCTGTCTAGCCGGGGAGCGGGGCTTGTCGGGGCAGTGGAGAGGTTCCCAGGACACGCTAGCCTGGGCCTGGGAGTGGGTGCGACCAAGCCACAGCTCTGGAATGTGTGTAGTCAATTCAGAGCCTGTTCCAGGGAAGAGGAGATTTGGAGGGTGTGTTAAATGGGGGCGGGGTGGGAGGTTGTTGCCAAGCGGTTGTGCGCTGTCACTGTGTTCTCTGAACCAGAGATAAAGGAGCACGCCAGTCACAAAGGAAGCTCTGAAGCAGGTGAGCACAGCCCTGGTGGGTGGGGGAGATTAGGTAAGAGCTTGGGTTCCTTTCTCTGGAAGAGGGGGAACCAGGGGAACCCCGGGGGTGTCAGGAGGCCACCACGGGCCTGGAGGCAAGGGTAGACATGATGTCAGTTGGCTGTGGGACCTGAGACACAGGGCACAGCCTCATTTTTCCCATCCGTACAGGCCTGACTCACAGGGCTGTGTCGAGAATGGCGTGAGGCTAAGGATGTGGAAGCTCCCGGCGGATTGTGAAGTGCATATAAATGTCAATTGCCATTGGCCCCAGCATCAGCGTTCACGCTGCCCCTTCCTGTGCCCAGGGCAGACGTTGTTCATCAACGTGGCATCCTTTCCTGTCACCCAGGATCTACCGCTGGCTCCTTCTCAATATTGCTTTCTGGGTAGCCAAACTCTTGAGCTTGTCATCCCTTTCTAGAACCTGGAAATGGAAACCTCCCCATAAAATAAGACCCACTGGGGCAATTTTGGGTGCAGCCACTGGTGAATCATCCCTAGGATGTCGCCTTGGGCTAAGATAAGTTGCAAGACTCACAGGAGAACAAGAAGGTGACCCCACATGATCTTTAATACAAATGACAAAATTTGGGACTAACCCAGGTTAGGGTGTATCTAAAAACAGGTGTCAGTTAAGACTTACTTCCAAGAACATCTCTGTGTTGTTATACCTGTAGTGCCTATAACCGTGAGCTCTGGGTTTTAGAGGGCTTTTAAGAATATATACACACGTCTGTGTCAGACGGTCTGTAGCTTACCTCCTTTGGGCTTGTGAAAGCGTGAAGATTGCATAATACAAGGGGAACTCAGTGCCCACAATCCCTTTCTCAGCCCCAAATTCATGTTACAAGATGCTCTTGACTCATTTTCCTTTCTCGTTTCTTCTCAGATTTCTGATACAAATAGGGAAGCACAAGGGAGTAGATAGTACAATAAGAAATCCATTTGTGGTTCCACAATACCTACTGAGAGCCCACTGTGTGCTAGAGCCCCGGCGCAGGGTTTCTCAACGTGCCTGCTCATTGCAGTCCCGGGGGCGGCTTTCAGCTGTGGCTGACACCGGGACCCCATCCGGAGATTCTGATGTGATTGGTCTGGGGAGTGGCCTGGGCCTCCGGGACTCAGAAAGCTCTCCCGGTGCTTAGCGTGTGGCCAGGGTTGGGGACCTCTGCCCTAGGCACGCAGTGGTGGACGCGAGAGACCTGGGGTCAGAAATGGGTATAAGCTGTAAGCAAGGAAGAACCCCCTCTGAGCTTTGTACTGGCTCAGATGTTTTGAACAGGCAGCTTTAGAGGTGGTTTGAAATAGGACAGCCTGTTTGGTCAGGTCCCGGAATGTATATATATTAAGTGCCATTAAAAGGGAACGGAACAAAATTGGATGTTCTTGTAGGCACCAGGGAGAAAACTGAAATAAACTTGGAACCAAATTGATCTCATCAAGGGAAAATAAAAATGTATTCAGTAGCACATGGCTTATGGTTTCTTGTGGACTGCGGATGAGATTAAAAGTCACTGGAGGGTGAGAAAATGCGTGCTGAGAAGATGGAGAATGGCCTGAATTTTCTCCAGGGGACTCTGTGTAACGTGCCCTTTTTTTCCCCCAAATGCCTAGAACCACTGCACTGTGTCTTATTTATTTCACTCTTGAACTTGCTGAAGTATTTGCCAGTGAACTGAACAGGGCTTCTAAGAGCTGAAGACTGATTCACCCTTGCTCCCTGCAGTGGAGTGAGACCTCTTAGACCTTTTGGGCTCCAGCCCAGCTCTGGACATGTGAAAAAGATTACAGTATCAGAGGAAAGATGCGTGGATTCTTGGTTAATATGATGAGCTCTAGCTTGGTGAATAACTGATGTGAACTACTGAGAATAAAGGACTTTGAAGATGAAAATGTCTCTGGAATTTGTGTGGCTCTTACCATTGATTAGTTAGGTGCCCCGGTGCGACATTTGTTCACTGGGCACTTGCTGTACATAAAAATGGCACCTCATTCATTCACGTGTTCCTTTGAGGAGTAGCTACACCACACCTTTGGCCTTAGCAGCTGGGGATACAACAAGAAGTCAGACAGGTGGGGACCCTGTTCTCCCAGAGCCCACAGGCTGGTAAGAGAGACAAGTCAACAGCCAGTTACATGCAGTGTAAGTGTTAGGGGAGGGCAGGAACAGGTGCCACCAGAGCCCAGGGAAGGGTCCAGCCCTGACTCAGCCTTGGCGGCTCAGGAACACTTCCTGAGAGAAGTGATACCCAAGCTGGGGCCTGACGGGTAACTAGGGCTGAGTGGAGGTTGCAGGGAGGGTGTGTGCAAAGGCCCAGAGGTAAGAGCTAGCGCCGTTTGTCGGGAAACCGAAATGCTGTAGAGCTGAAACAGGGTGTGTGAAGGGTAGTGGGTGCAGTGAGAGGTGGTTTAGAGGTCAGCATGGTAAGGAGCTTTGGTTTTTATTCTGAGAGCCATGCGTGGGGGTGTGGGGCACTAAAGGGTTTGAAGTAGACGCCTGACATGCCCAGGGTTGTATTTTCGGGTGCAAGCTCTGGTTCATCCTGGAATCTCCCTAAGCATGTCACATGCCTTAAGCAATAGATGTTCTGCCCTGGCTGGTGTGGCTCAGCGGGTTGAGCACCAGCCTGTGAACCAAGGGGTCACCGGTTCAATTCCCAGTCAGGGCACATGCCTGGGTTGCAACCTAGGTCCCCAGTTAGGGGTGCTTGAGAGGCAACCACACATTGATTGTGGTTGCCTCTCTCCCCTCTCCCCCCTCTCTAAAAAAAAAATCTTTAGAAAAAAAAGTAATAGATGTTCTATATACATATTGCTCAGATAAGCACCCCCAGGGGGTTGGGAACACAGCAGCCCAGCCTCCGAGGAATCACCCAGAGCAGCCAGGCAGCTGGAGAGGCAAGACACACAGAGTGAGGCAGTTACTCGGCTCCACTGGGCAGGAGACAGGAGGGAGATCTGAGGGGCTGAGGTGGTCACAGAGGCTTCTTGGAGGAGGTGGGGCAGGTGCTTGGCCACGGGGGGCAAGTAGGATCGGGGAAATCAAAGGGGGGAGAGTGGCCTTCTCAGGCATGGAGAGGAGTATAGTGCCAGAAAAAGTACCCAAAACTTTGGAAAAGCTGAAGTCAAGGCCCACCTGACCGTAGACAAGTAAAAAATGCAATTGTCTGCACATGAAAAAGTTTGATGTGGTCCCCAGTTTCCCTGTCCTCCCCACTCAGTCCCAAAAGTACTCAGTGTAGAGTTTAGGCTTAGTTAAAGAAGTCCCTGGCTGCCTTCGCCAAGACCTGACTTCCAGTGTGGACGCGTCATTGTAGGGCCCGGTGGCAGGGAAGAGACTAAATACCCGCCCCCACCTCCAGGATTGGGCATAAGAAAGAGCCGGTTTCCACTCTTGGCAACATCATAAGCAGCGAGGAGCCTGAACGATCCATTCATTTAATCTTGCTCACCTGTTTTCTTTTCTTTTCTTCTTTTCTCTTTTCTTTTTTCCTTTTTTCTTTATATTTTTTTCAACTGCGGTTTGCATTTAATATTATTTTGTGTGCAACATAGTGGTTAGGCAATCATATACTTACCAAGTGTTCCCCGTGTTACTTACAAAGGGATCACCTGTTTCCTTCTTGGTAATTTCCGAACGTACTCTTTCTGTTTTCTCACCTGTAAAATGGGTGCAATTCCTGTTCTCACAGGTTGGGTGGGAGGAGTAAATGACTATGAGCACCAGAAGCGCCGCAGCTGTGCAATGAGGGAACATGTGAGCTGTGACCACCAGGGGGCAGCAGAGCTCTACAATTCAGAGGCAAGGCCCCCGAGGCGCCCGGGGAGTCGAACTGGAATGCCTGTTGGTGCTGGGCAGGTGGTGCAAATCAGGGGACAGACCAGGTGAAAGACATTAGGGAGCGGTCCTAGCATAAACGTTCCGTCTAAAACAGCAGCTTGTTGGCTCCAACCTGTGTTGTTACATCAGAGTGAGGGACCAGTGGTGCCAGGTGGGCTGACTTTTCAAAAGAAGCCAGAGACCAGGGTTTTGTTTGTTTGAATCTTTTTGATGTGAAGCCACCTGTGTGGACAGTGGGTGGGCCACAGCAGGCCCCCTCTTTGTATCTTCTGCCTGAATGTGGGTTCACTGTCCTGGGTGGAGAGTCTCTTCTGAAGAATTAGTTTCATTTCTTGACGTTTCCTGTGAAATACCTTCCTGTGTCTCCGCTTTACTCATCAGACACTCATTTCCCTTTGTTAGATCTCTGGGGAGCACTGTTTCCTTCTATGCTACCGTGACTTGTTGCTGCCTCAGGGTTTCGGTAGGTTGTGCACCACATTTTCTGACTCCCTTGTGAGGATCTTCATAGAACCCATCCTTAATGAGGATTAAATGAGATAGATATAAAACCGCTTAGCCCAGCATCTGGCTCATTAGTGCTCAAAAAACACAGTTAACATTATTATGGGGACTTTGGGAGAGATGGCATGACATTTGGAGAGAGGTCTGCAGGGCCTTTCTCTGGGATTGTGACAAGGCCCGGCCACCGCCCTGTACAGATGAAGCGCTGGACTTGGCTGTCACACTCCAGAGACATTCCTGAGACTCTCCCCTCGGCCTTCACTCATCCTGCCACCTGGGCCAGGGGGGGCAGGGGTCCCATCCAGGCCAATGCCCCGCATCCTCCTGCCTCTCTCCAGCTGCAGGGCTTTCTGCTGCCCACTGCGCCCGGAGGTGTCGGGCAGGTGCTCAGGCGGTGATCAGGTGCACTGATAACTGCAGGAACCCTCGCAGCCAGCGGCATCCTCTTGGGGGTGTTCCCAAGGGACTCAGCAGCTTTGGGGCACCAGGTTCCTTGCTAGGGAGTGAGGAGAGTGAGGGGACCAGGTGTGTCATGGGCTTGACAGCTGGGCTCCTGAGCATCGGCAGCGGCTGCGCAGCTACTGCTGAGGTCTCAGGCAGCCCCCATGTATGCAGGACACCCAGGGTGGTGCTGGGTCCCTGCCTTGGGCCCAGCTACCTGTCATCAGGGGTTGGTCTGGGCATCCTTGGGCCCTGTGTGTGGAAAGATCTCTAAACAGTGGCTGCAGGTTTGGGACAGCCCTGAGCCCCAGGAAGGGTGGGACTAGCATGGGTGTGCAGGGAGCAGCCGCCTCTTCAGGGCACCTCACATGTCCAGAGATGGGGGTATTTGCTTGTTTCCTTTCACAGTCATTCTCTGCCCTGCTCTGCTCTGCACTTCAGGGAACTACATTTCCCAGGCTCTTTCGTCCTCTGGTTTCCTGGTGGGTTTGGCCAATGGGAAGCACCGACAGGCAAGAGGAGGGGAGGGGCCAAGGTATTTCTCCCTCTTCCTGCTTCAGGCAGCATCTCTGCCTGTGGCTGGTCTTCCCTGTGGTCCTAGTTCCCACGGGAGGGCCCCTTCCGCAAGGTCAGGTCCTGTTGGACAGGCCCGGCTATACTTCCCACTGTTGTCCCTCCAGCCCAAGAGCTGGAATGTCTTTTTGCTGTTGTTAATCTCTAGGGCTCAGATCTTCATTCACCTGTGTAACCTCCTCCCCGTATTAAATTCCTTCAGTTCAAGATGAATAGAGTGGTTCTCTTTCTGACTGGCCAGCGACTGGCATGCTGCTCAGTACCCCCAGTACAGGATGGGACTGGGGAGTAGAACTATGGGGCTCCCAGGTACCTCTGCGTCTCAGGCCACCCAGCGCTCGGGGAAGACTGGGACCATCGCCAGGTCTGCTACACCTTCCCTGGGTCAGGGGACTATCTTGCTTTCCCCTCCTAGGACTCTTGGAAGCGTCTTCAGCTGCGCACAGTGCGTCACACTCCAGGGCCAGTGGCTGAGAGAGTCTGCTGACTGCCCCTAGACTTGGGCAGATGAGGCTGTTCCTGTAGGGCCCAGAGCGGACAGACACAGCGGAGGTCCCAGGGCTGCTGTGTCAGAGCAGAGCCAGGCTACGGGCATGGGGAGAGGGTCACCTCCTACCCCCAGGGTGTCTCAGCAGCATATATGTCTGGCCCTGGCTTGGGCAAGGGGAGCAGTGAGCCCCAGGTAAGGGAGATGGGAAGTGGGAGGGGGGCACTGGCTGGGGAAGAGGCTGCTTGTCTTGATTCTGGGGTCTCCGGGCTTCTGGGCCCATCAGCAGAGCGCCTGGCCTGGGGGAAGTCCAGGGCATTGATAGCGCTCGCCGCAGTTTCTATTCACTACTCACAGGGCTGTTGGAGCATTACATGAGGCAATCTACTTTACAGGACTGAGCCAGTGCCTAATACATAGAAAGCTCTCAAGAGCTGTGAGCTAAGAAAAGAAACACAAATCTCTGCATCAGCCAGCCACCGTGCACCTCATTCTGCAGGCATTTCATGGGATGAGCTGCTGTCGCAGTTGTGACTGAGGCCCTGGCCTCTTCCCTGGGGCAGAGCTGGGGCTGGGGACACAGATCCTACTGTGACTCCTATAGAGGATCAAGACAGGTGAAGGAGTTGTGAGGCTGGGAGGCATGGTGATCCCAGGTCACACTCCCCAGGACGTAGGGGAGCCAGCGGGTATCTGGCAAGCAGTTGGAGCCCCAAGAGGGCACTTGATGACAAGTATCTCCTAGTGTCTGGACAGGACAGAGATCAAGGCCAGGTCACAGAGTGGGCAGGAGGGTCCCAGTCTTTGGGCTGAGGTTCAGGTACCAGGTTCTGGAACCTGTAGGATCAGGCCCACTAAAGATATGGAGATCATGGCACGGGACAGAATTAGGGTCCAGCTTCTAGCACAAGAGACTTCATACTGAGTCCTGGTGGGGGCGGGGGGGTGGAGGCACTGCCTAAAATCCTCCCATCTGAGGACAGGATTGAACCTAGGGAGCAAGGTGGGCTAGACCTGGGAGAAGATCGTGAG